ACGGGGGTCGGGGTACTCCCCTGTTATCAGCAGTGATGAATGAATGAGTCAAAAGAAAAAAAGAACACACCCCTGCCAAACTGCAATTACAAACATGTCTGCAGTGGAGTTTCCTACTGAGACACAGGGCAAGCTAGAAATTAGGCAGTTTTAGGGACAGTGCAGGAGGGGACCTCTGAAGAATTTAGGGAGGCTTCAGAGATAAGGACAACCAAGGGAAAGTAACCCATTCCAGTAGGAAAAACAAACATCCCAGGACCAAGGACAACATTGTTAATACTAGTCCTGGTTTCCTTCAGGTGGTAAAGGGAGGCGGAGATTGGAGAAATGGAGAGTGGTTTAATTTATGGACACATTAGAAGGGCAGCTGTTTAACTTCAATGCAGGGATGCCCATCCAGAAGACTGGGTCATAAATTTAAAGATGCAACAAATGGGGAAAGAGAAAGCTGTTAGATAAGGAATGTGAAGATCCCCCACTCAGTAGCAAATTAAGTGAGACAAACGAGAACTAACCAATCACAAAGAGACTGGTGGAGCTTTAGAATAATGAGGGAAAAAAGGTATATATTCCCTGAGACACGACTCCACTTTGGCTTCCTTGACCCTCCCAGGCCTGGTTCCCTGGCCTGGGAGTCCCACTTTATTTCTGCTCTTTGTCTCCTCAATAAACTTTTTCTTTCTATAAACAAATCTGCCTCTTCTCGCTTGCTGGCCTGAGCGTCTGCGAAGTTCCTGCTGCGGCTTCATGAGACACCAACCCGTGGGGGTCTAGTGGCTGGGGCTCAGCGCTGCCCTGCAGCCTGGGATCCGTTCCTGGCTGGGAGACTAGGCCTGACAATTCCGGTATCACTACCTTGGAAGAATTGATGGAGGACAAGAGTGAAAAACCTGGAAAGGGGGTGCCCTGAGACCAGAACCTGATTCACACAAGGAGGTGGGGGTAGAGGGAAGTAACACGGCCATTAAATCAGTGTAGAAATCAAGGCCCTCGGGAGCACAGCCTTGTCACAAGGCCTAAGGTCCAAGCAGGATGAGATGCTCTAGGGAGTAGAGCACAGGCCTGAGGGTAAAGATAGGGAGATTGGGTCCATCCTGGAACCTGGGGCCTCTTTCTACTTTTGCCAAGTTATCCAACCTCAGCAACAGACAGGCCACTCTACAAAGGACTGACGCCTCCCAAAGAGAAAAGGACTGTACCCGTGCAGTCTCTGCCCTGGCAAGGGGCAGCCATCCCTCTGCCCATCCATGACTATGCAGGTGCTTTTGTAACAGGGTGGTCCCCAGGAAAGGGGGAGGTTCCAGGTTTCCTGCCCCACCCAAAAGGAGGGTGGATCAGAGCAGGGAGAAGAAGCTGCAGAGGAGACTGAGGAAGGAAGGAAGCAGGATGGAGCCAAAAGGAGACCTGGAGGAGGCACATGGAGCAGAGAGACATGTGGAGAAACTGCGCCTGCCTTTTGGTCGTGGACTGGGAGTACCCCAGACCCCACAAACCTGCCTACTCTGAATGGGTTCTGCCCGTGCCCTCAACCTGCCAGGCCTTCTCCTCACTGACCCCCTTAGCAGAGGCCGCTCCCCTCAGGGCTGCCTGCTACCTCACACCATGCACAAAAAACAACTCAAAATGCATTAAAGAACTGGACATGACCTGAAACCATAAAATATATAGAAGGGAATAGAGGAGAAACACTACATGACATGCACCTCAGTGACATCTTTAAAGACACATCACCCAAAGCAGTGATAGTGAAGGAAAGGATACACAGCGGGATGACATCAGGTAAAGACCTCTGTACAGTGAAAGAGACATGAACCCAAACAAAGACAAAACACACTGATGGGGAGAAAATTTTTGCACACAACAGTAATGATAAGGGACCGATCATAAAAATCTACAAAGAGCTGACGAGACTCAACAAAAAAACAGAGTAAATCACCTTGTCAAAAAATGGGCAGAAGAACTAAAAACAAACTTCTCCAAAGAGGAAATACAAATGGCCAACAGGCATAAGAAAAAATGTTCAGCATCAGGGAAATGTTGCAGTCAGGGAAAAATGTTGCAATCAGGGAAATGCAAATCAAAACTACAATGAGATACCATCTGACACCATATTAAATGGCACATATTAAAAACTAGCAACAACTACTACTAATGCTGGCGAGGATGTGGAGAAAAAGGAACTCTCCTGCACTGCTGGTGGGAGTGCACACTGGGGCAACCACTATGCAGAGCTGTGTGGAGGTTCCTCAAACTACTGAAAATGGAGCTTCCATATGGTCCAGCAATTCCACTCCTAGGAATCTACCCAAAAGACACAAAAACATTAATTCAAAAGGACACGGGCACCCCTATGGTTAATGCAGGAGTATTTACAATAGGGAAAACCTGGAAGCAACCCAAAAGGGATCATGCTCAGCGAATAAGCCAGAAGGAAAAAGAAAAACACCAGATGGTCTCACTCATAGCAGGAATCTAGAAAACCCAAATAAGGGACCAGGAAAAAGACTAATTATAATAAAGTAAAAAGCAAAATCAACAGGCAACTATAAGCCAGAGACACACTGGGGTGGGGGGAGAGAAGGGATAGGATCCAAACGAGGGGGTGGGAATTTTACGGGGACTATAACCAAGATGCATACATTGTGCAGAGATGAAAATGATGTAAAAATATATAAAATAAAAAAAAAATTAAAAACCTTCAATTTAAGTCAAAAAAAACCCCACAATTGCTTTCCAACGAGGCACCCAGAGCCACCCCTACCCTGCGGTGAATCCCCCGACAGGGGCCCCCCCAAGGCCGCAGAGGCCGGAGCTGCCCTTCTGAGGCCCCAGCCGGCAGGGCCTGGCAAGGGGGGGCGGGACTGGCTGAAGGAGAGGGAGCGAGATCCGAGCACCCCCAAGGGAAGGGCCCCGCGGCCGCCGTCCCGGCCTCCTGGACACGCTGACCCGTCCCGCGGCCCCGGAGGCAGGTGGGGGACACCAGCGCCCCCGCCGGAGCCCCCGCCCGCCCTGAGCCCCGAGGTGGGGGCCCTGACCTGGCCCCCGCCTCTCCGCGGCTCCCCCGCCAGAGGCTGCTCCGGCTCAGGCGACCCTGCACTGCGACCCAGGGCAGTGCTGGTGGGGGAGGCCGGGGCCCGTGTCCCCCACCCCCTGCTGCTGCTGCGGTGCGTCTCTGGCAGCCCGCGCCCCGCGGCCTGAGTGGGACAAGCGCCTCCCTCTGCGCCCCTTGGGGTGGGGAGCCGAGCTGGGGGGTGCTCAGACCTTCTGGGCCAGCCGCTGGGGGCCTCGCCTGTCCTGCTGCTCCCCGCGGCCCTCCAGGCGCTCCTCCTGGCAGCTTCTCTGGGGGCTCCCTGCCCACTGGCTGCGCTGGTAACCCGCAGACGCTGGGGGACTGGGGGGACGCAGCAGCTGCCCTCCTTTACCGCGGGCGGGGCGCACTGGCCCACCCCAGGCCTGCACCCCAGCTCTGCTGTCTGCGGGGAGCTGTTCTGGGCATGGCTGGGGTCTCCCCCGTCCCTGGGCTCTCCCCCTGGATGGCTGCAGCTCCTCACTCTCCGTCCAGTCCTGACACCCACAGATGTCTCCAAACATGGTCAGCCACCCCTGGTCTAATTGAAGGGGTGTCCCTCACCAGATTGGGTGACGGCACTCGCATGGGGTCCCACAGGACAATGCACGAGCCAAGCACATGGGCGTGAATGTGTGTGTGAGCTGCTGGCGGCCATGGCTCTCCTGACTAGAAACACTCAGTGACCCGCAGTGACCAGTCCCCTCAGTGACCAGTCTCTGCGGCTGCCGTTCCCAGGCGTCTTGTTCAACATTTATTTATTTTTTAAACATTTATTTATTTATTTATACAAGCACTGGGTACAGTCAGAAGCGCAGGAGGGTGAGAGAATTCACCAGAGCCAGAGCGGGGAGCAGAGCAGGCAGAAGGACCAAAGTACACTGCTGAGGGGAGCAGCGGGCGGCAGAAGAGGTCTGCGCGCCATGAGGCCGGGGGGCAGCCAGGGATCGAACCAGCGTTGCAGAGGCTGTGGGCAGCTTCGCAACCCAGCGCTCAACCGCTGCGCCACCGGAGAGGCCCTTGTTCAGCATTTAGAACATAAAACACACTCCTTTCTGGAACAGAAAGTAGAACTCCGATAGATTATCAATAAATGATGGGGGCGCTCAGCCTCCAGGCACCACCCTGGGGGTGGCCAAGGCCAAGCAGCCATGCACCCCAGCTGTGCCCGGAGACTCCAGGTTCCAAAGGACAAGTGGCCAAAGTGCTTCGTGTCTTAGCAGCAGTGTGGGATGCAGCTTATTCTGTCTGTTAACTAATATCTGATGCACTTGCCACAGGACCCAGCGGCCCCACTCCTAGGACACAGACACACTGATCTGAAGGAAACCTGCGCCTAGATGTTCACTGCGGCACCATGAACAAGAGCCGAGTAATGGAAACTCCTCAAATGCCCCCAAACAGATGAACGGATCAAAATGTGGACTCTATACACCATGGAATACTACTCAGCCATCAAAAAGATAAACTCATGCCTCTCATAGCATCATAGATGGATCAGGAAGGGATGGTGCTCAGTGAGATACATCAGAAGGAAAGACATAATCAGATGGTTTCATTTACAGGTGGAATGTAGGGAAACTGAATAAAAGATCAGGAAAAAACACAAAACTGGGAGGCACCCATAGGTCTGAGGCACACGCCAGTGGAGAGGGAGGGGGTCAAAACAGGGGAGGGAAGGTCACAAGGGACTACGCTGACATTGATGGTTCACGGGTGCTGTGGTGGGGGGAGGAGGAAGTCAAATATTCTCCAAAAATAAACAATGATGAAGAAAATTAAAAAAAAATAACAAATACAGCAGAGGGGCTCGATAGCATTAATAGCCAGTGATGGGAAGAACCTAAGAAATTGACTGCAAAATAGAAAACAAAATAGCATAGAGAAGAAAGAATTTGAAAAAACGAGTATGTGAGGGTGTTTACAGTATTACCGGAGCTTGATCTAAGTTCAGTTCACACTGCCTTCATCCTCAGCGCGGCTCAGTACCGGACAGTGACAACAGCTGTGGCCCAAATTCTATTGTCGACAGGTGCAGCGGCCTCATGTGTCTGGTGGCCTGATGTCTGTGAGGTAAGTGCGTGGAGCCCGGGGGAGAGGTGCTCTGCCAGTTCCGAGGAGGAGCCCAGACCCACGTCCTGACAAGAGGCGACAGGGACATAGCAGCCCACTAGCTCTGAGGCTCCCAGATCCAGCCTCAGGAATCCCACCAAGGTCGCATGAGCTGCAGCGGCCAGAGAGGAAGGTGAAGAGGACAGGACGGGGTCACAGTCCCGTGACCCCCACAGTGACCTCCCCTGGCTTTGGGCAGTGCCTGCGAGTCCTCTCTGCAAGTCCCCCCTCCAGGGTCTTGGGGGGGTGGAGAGGATATGCCTGACTTGCCCTCAGGCTCCTGAGTTCTGGGGACTTGCAGTGGGGGTCTCCGCAGCCTCCCGTGAATGTCCTGAAAGGACCTGCCGGAACAACGTGCCTGAGCCACAGGGGTCTCTGTCCCCGCTACCCCTGCCTCTTTCAGTCCTTCCCACGCTGCAGAGTGATGCCCAGACCCACTGTGGGGACATCCCCCGGGGCAAACACCTGCCCAAGATGGAGGCTTCTGCACGGGAGTCTCCAGCTCACCAGGGGAGGGTCCACGGGAACATGTGAGAGGAGATCCCAGCAGGCTGCACCTCCATGCACCCCTCTACCTGCAAGGGAGCAGAATACGCCCCCCACCCCATGCCGCTGTGGCCCAAGATTCAGTGCAGGATAGGCCCTTGACAAAAAGCTGGGTCAAGAACACTGACCCCTACCCACCCCCCCAAAACAGGAGCTGAATCTCCCTCTGCCCAGGGCTGCCCAAGGTGGGGGAGCTCACAGGGGTCTGCGGGTCCATCTCCCCTGCCAGGGCCGGCGCCTCAACCTCTCCCGGCTGCTGTCCCCCCAGAGGCTCCCCTGGCCCTTGGGTGCCCACTGTGGTCCGAGGACCCCCGAAACCTGCTCGTGTCTCCCTGGAGAGATGTGTGTGGGGACGGGACACCTGACGCCACCCACTATTAAAAATTCCTCCCCGTTTCTCCGTGCGCGTCCCAGTTTGGGGGGCGGGCTCCCCCGACTCACCAGCAGTTTCCTTCCCACAGGATGTTCCCGAGGCCGCAGGACGGCGAACAGCGTCTGAAAGATGAGAACGATTTGCATTTTCCCAGTAAAGAAGTCGCCGAGCAGATCTCGGGACCAGGCTCCGGCCCACTGGACGCAGGTCCCCCTCGCCTGGCTGCCCCCGAGGCGGCGAGCCTCGGCGTCCACTCGGCGGAGCCCCGGCCGGGGGGCTCCAAGGCGGACCCTGACTTGCCAGGGCCCCCGCCCCGGCTCTGGCGAGAACTGCTTCTGAGCCGCAGACGGGGAGACAGCAGGAAGGACGGGGCCAAGGCCAAAGTCGGAACATGTCTTTAAAAATCGTTTTATGATTGAAAAAGAAAAACTTTTTCATCCAAGTGTGAAAGTCTGGAGAGTACAGACATATTGAAAGGGAAATCAAGGCCCCCCACAATCACAGGGAAACGCGCCGTTTTGTGTCCCGTTTTTATGCCTTTTTTGTTTTGTGTCCCGCGGACACGAATGTATTTGCAAAAGCGACGAAGGACTCGGAGCAGCTGCGGCCTGTTCCAGAGGCGGCGCGTGGACCCCGGAGGCCACCGGGCGCGGGCAGTGCGGGCTCAGGGGGACCAGGCAGGAACCTCCATCCCTGTGGACTTTCTGATCATTCTCACGGCACATACCCTGGGAGAGACAACTCGGTCTCAATTTTATTACTCTTCAGAACATGCTTCTCTGTGGAAGATGAGTTTGCTTGTTTGTTCACACTTCCCCACTCCATGTTCAAAACGTATACATGGATATGCGTGTGTGTATATATATATTCCGGTTATATATAAAACCCGGCAACCTTTGATACTCAATTCTTGTATAGGTTATGCATTTCCTGTCTCCAGAAACAAAAAATAATAAGCAATATAGCTGCTCACCACCTTAACTTTGTGAGAAAGGATAATTTCATTTTATTGTCAAAATGGATTATGGTTACATACTTCCAATTCACGAAAAATAACCTTCTTTCTGAAAAATGTTTCTAAGTTTTCTCTCTATAGTAATACATATAAGAGAGAGGTGCTGGACTACTGAAATGATTTCAAATGAAAAAGGGATGGATGTGTGCCTGGATCTCCACATTTCATCCTTTGTAAACCCAGATGTCATGAAAGGTGAGAACAATTCCCTGACCTTGAATTGCATGTCCGCTTTGAGAAAATAACTTTTATTCTGACATTTAATATAGTTGATTCCTATTGTACTGTACTTACATTAAAGAGAAATTATATCTTTAAAACAAAAGAATGAAAACATTTTCATAATGTCTAAAAGTTGTATATCTTCTTCAAAGTAGGATAAATGAGTGAATTAGTCAGTCAGGACTGGTCATTAGCTTCCACCTTGTCTTAACATTTACTTCTCACTGCTTTTTGTTTGATTTTAAGAAATAAATAGAACACATAAAACTCTGTTGATATCCACTTTATCTGAAAAATACAAGCTATAAGAGAACAGAAAGCAGCCCTGGTCAAGGACACAGGCCATGAAAAAAGTTCTAAAGAAAAGAAAGTCATTTTCAGAGGGCCCACAACTGGACAGAGCACGCTTTGATCTTATGGAAACTGTATGCAAATCTTATTAGACAAGCACAGAAATGATCATTCCAGAAGAGTTTCCCTGGGTGTTGACTTTCTTTTTACCCCATTTATTCTCCCACAAACATAAGACATTCCAAGAATGAAATACAATATGAATAATATCAACCCTGAGATCACCCATTTGCAATTTCTATAACAAAAATTAAAAATCACACATTTAAGCAGGAAGAAGAATACATGCAATTCTAATCACAATATTTTTGATTAAAGATTAAGTACACAGAGAACTGCATTTCTTCACAAATGAGCAAAGGGAAAGAAAAACACAGCAACAAGATGAATTTTTTTTTATATACAGGAGCTGGGGTACAGGCCGAGGTGCAAGAGGGTGAGAGGATTCACCAGAGGCAAAGCAGGGAGCAGAACAGGAAAACGACAGAAACACACTGCTGAGGGGAGCAGCAGGCATGACAGGAGAGGTCTGCCGCACCATATGGGACCCTGGCCGGCCTGCGGGGATCGAACCCACACTGCAGAGGCTGCGGACAGCCCCACAGCACAGTGCTTAACCTGCTGGGCCACCAGGGAGGCCCAACAAGATGAATTTTACACAGTTCTCTTTCAAGTACAATAGCAAAAAAAAAAGAGGAAAACAGGAAATGTTAGGCAGTATAGAGATGAATGAAGTGTGATGGATGATTTTCAAGAGAAACAAAATGAAATTGCAGGCTAAAACAACCCACTCTCTCAGAAATTCTCCAAAACTATTCTTTTGAAACAGGAGTGATAAAGTCATAGAAAGTGATGCAAAGATTATTTATGAACAGAATGAAGATGTGAATGCTATTGTACAACTGACAAACATGATCAGGGGAGAAAACAACAGAATTAAAACATCGAGATGAATCAGACATTGAGAATCTGTTTGATAAAAATCTCCTACTGTTTCGAGGACAAAAATACAAATTAACTAAAGACATAAAACGAAATTGTAATTAGGGAACATAACAAATGGAAAATCAATGTGAAAACTGTTGTTGTGCCTGTACAAGAGAAGAAAAACAAAAAGCAAAGTGAAAGTCTCCCTGGTAGCGTAAGGGGTTAAGCACCGCATTGTAAAGCAATCCTCAGCCTCTGCAGCATGAGTTCAATCCCCCGGCTGGCCAAGAAGAAACCCACATGGCGCAGCAGACCTCTCCTGTCTCGCCTCAGCAGTGCATTTCAGTCAGCCTGCCTGTTCTGTTCTGTTCTGTTCCCCACTCTGTCTCTGGTGAATCCTCTCACTCCCCCGCACCTCTGGCCTGTACCCCAGCTCTTGTATGCATAAATAAATAAATAAATAAATAAATAAATAAATAAATAAATAAAAATATTAAAAAAAGCACAGTGAAAACACTGGATAGATGATTGATTGATTGATGATAGATAGTGGAGGGGTGGATAGATCGATCGATCATAGGTTGATTGATCAACAGAGTAGAGATATAGAGAGATAAATTTAGTAGAGTTTAAAAAAAAGTCTTCTGAATTTCCAGAGTTCAGAAAATTCTGTTCAATTGTAAAGCAATATATAAAGTCACACTTTCTTGGAAATATCACAAGTGAAAGGGACAGGTTCTGCAGATTTCTGAAGAAGGAAAGATTGAGATTGATTATATGAAAGCAAGTTATTATTCAAGACTAAAGAAGAGGAAAAAGTACAATTTTAAACATTAAGTGGAAATTTAACATTATCTAAAGATTGGTACATCCCAATAATGATAATAGAATTGGTGAAGCAATTTAGAGTACAATACATTTAGAAATAGAACAATTTTTAAATAATGTACAATGTTTTGCTTTCAAAACTGAATTTTTACTAAAAATAATGATTCGACTAACATTATGGGCTAAAAGTAAAGTTCAAGACTTTGCTAAAAAAAAGAAACCAAGAAAGATTTAGATGGGTTTGGAGATTGAAGAGGGGTTAGAAAACCCTAGGTGTCTTTTTCCTAATTCCTTTAAAAATGCCATTGTTGGGCCTCCCCTGGTGGCACAGGCAGTTGAGCGCCTCACTGTGAAGCTGTCTGCAGCCTCTGCAGCACCGGTTCGATTCCAGCCGGCTGGTGAGGGTCTCACAAGGCATGGCAGACCTCTCCTGTCGCACCTGCTACTCCCCTCAGCAGTGTATTTCATCAGTATGCCTGTTCTGTTCCCCACTCTGTCTCTCGTGAGTCCTTCCACCCCCTGCTTCTCTGGCCTGTACCCCAGATCTTGTGTGCATAAATAAATCTTCTAAAAAAATAATCTAAAAAAACACCAATTATTCAAAGCAATAAAGCACAGCAATGGTACCATGACTCCAAATGTCAACAGTAATGTCCAGTTTGGGGAGCAAAAGGATCAGAGTGTGGTGGCAGGGAGTACTGGCTACCTCACTGCAGACACATGGATTTACAGCCTGGGGAAGGATTTGGCCAGAAGTCAAGTCATATGTATTTCCTCTGTAGCTGTTCAATAGCATAATAAAAACTAAACTCCCTATTTTCTACTTACAACTGAGATTCAACCAATGATAGCTATAAGTTTTTGACATTTTTAAAAG